TCTCTATATAATTGTGAAAAAACTCATGTATATTCAGAGGTTCCAATTTAAAAAAAATAAAATAAAACAGATCTGAGGATCATTCTCCAGATTGATAGCAGCTGTCATTTATGTGATCATTTAAAACAGCCATATTGTTTTGGGTTGCAAAGTATGCTGGTGTTAAACCATCATGGCACCAGGTCACATAGCTATTCCAATGTCCACATTCTTCTGCTCTAGCAAAGAGATTTTCTTCCATTTCATACTGATGGAGAGCCAGCCGTAATATGGAAAGAACTGGGACAATTCTCTCTGGCCTAAAACAAATGGGTCTAATGCAGTGTTTCTCAAAGTTGGCAACATTAAGATGCGTGGACTTCAACTTGCAGAATTCCCTAGCCAACGTGCTGGCTGGGGAATTCTGGGAGTTGAAGTCCACACATCTTAAAGTTGCCAACTTTGAGAAACATTGGTCTAATACATACATTTTCAATATCTGTTTGTAGTTGTCTGCCTATATTTTTGAATACACACAGAAATTGAGTTGCAATATAATTTGAACTAACTGCCCACTTTTGTATGATATCAAAAGCAATTAATCGGAGAGCCATGGCTCACTATCTTTACTCACTGACTCACCCAAACAACTGGTGAGCCTTTACTAGGGCTTGGAAGAACATACTCCCTTCGGTATCATTTCAGGGCAGATATCACAATCCCCCTATGATTCATCATCTTCACCCATGGGGCGTACAAGAAGTAGAATCAGTTACATGGGTTCTTTTACACTGTAGGTTTTATACAACATTGCACCAAAACTTTATTTCTCCCCTTTTAGCAGCAACCCTTGGTCTATCAGATATTTCTTGGGTTGATTTCCTGCTGGCTGATAAGGTCTTTCATATAACATTGGGAAAGTCTGTTACTTAGCATCAAGATTTTGGCAGTAGATCTACAGTGGAAAAGGAGATAGTGTGCTGTATATGCTTATTTTGTTATTTATTTGTCAAGATGGCAGCCACAACCGTGTAACCAAACCTGTCTTTTTTTTACATGTGGAATGGCAGGGTTGTGACAGGTTTTTGACCCCCCTCCCTGTGTATGCCCCTGCTTGTACAACACACACAAAACTAACATCTCGATACTTGGCCCCTACCATTCATTCATTCATTCATTCATTCATTCATTCATTCATTCATTCATTCATTCAATAGACCACTGTAATCAAGAACTGACTCCCTGATTATTCTGAAGTCTACTAATAATCCACCATTCAAACTGTTCTAATAAAAACTGTCTCTGATTTAGTGGACAGGGCTGAAAATGGATACACTTACTTTTCATTGCTCCATTTTTATTCTGACAGAGACATATTTAATCTCTTCTAAAATAGAATGAAAGTTACTGAAGTATTTCATGCACTCTTGGCTTGGCGAAGTTCTGAGCAGAAGTTTAAAAGTTATTAACGTGCTCCAGTAAAGCCTGGGACAGTAGTTCCTCTGATGCAGGCTGAAGATACTCCATTGTTTGCAGAAACTCCAGTGATTATAATAATAATCCAGTGGAACCTCTCGGGAAGTTTGTGAAACATGGAATTTGCAGAGAGAGTTGCACATTTTCCTAGCTCATTCAGAGAAGACAACTGATCCACCTTAAAAGAGACATCGGGTAGACTTGAGTTCTGGGTTGAAAATGAAATTTTTGCTTGCCAGTAAAGCTCATGGAGTGCCTTTAGGTGGACCTCTTTCATTCTGTCTCTTCTACACTGCAAAGTTGTTGTAAAGAGAACAGTGAGAAGGTGAAAATCAGGGAAACTGTTGAGGCTTCTTCTTATGGAAGAAAGGTGAGACGAAAGTGTAACCAGATGAGAATAAGGAGGAGTTGAATGTATGGGTATGTGGCCCATACTTTTGCTACCATGCCTATACCATGGTTCATGACTATTATTTTTATAAAATCCAACTTTTCTCTAAGTTTCCAATAGTGCTTGGATATTTTAAACTTTTTATTGCTCCTTTGATTCTTTTGATTTTTGCCTTATTGTTTCACTGTTTATTTTATTTTGCATCTTCTACAGAACAGTTTTGTGTGCTTTCATTTTTGGGCCTTCGAGTCAATTTTGATTCCTGGCAACTGCTTAGACAAGTCCCTGTGTTTTTCTTGGCAGCATTTTTCAGAAGTGGTTGGCCCTTGCCTTGTTCTTCCTAAGAGAGAGAGAGGGGCTGGCCCAAGGTCACCCAACAGACTTCATGCCTAGCGTAGGACTAGAACTCCCAGTCTCCTGGTTTCTAGTCCAGTGCCTTTAGCCACAACCCCAGACTGGCTCTCCATCTACCCACCCATCCATCCTGTCTCTGCGTTGTTGAACCCACTGTTTTTAATTCTTTGGACTTGATTTTAAATGGCTTCAAGGTTTGCCAGGCAAAGAGCTATACAAAAGGTTTCAAATCAATAAATAAAGCTCTTGAGAACTTGTCCAGAGATGCTGTGCTAATACTTGCAGAGGATGATGGTAACAACGTTCACTGAATATTTCTCCACAGTACTGTCTATGACCAAGAAGGGCTGATTTTCATTTTGCATTCAACAGTAAAAAGAATTGAAGTCTGCTCTGCTAGTGGGCCTCCATTAACTTCTCGGATTGGAAGATGCTTCTTGTTTCTTGGGTCTGTAGTCCTGTTGTGAGTGGGTATATGCTTTTAATCCTTGTCATTGGAAGAAAGACACCATAACTACTACTACTACGATTACTACTACTACTGTTTATTCTCTTTTCCTCCTCTAGCTTTCACAGTTTGTGATGATGGATGGCGATCACTTCTTGCTTGCCCTTAAAATCCTTGACCCAGGCAGCTGCCTGGTTTATATCTGTCTTACATACAACATTTGCTTGCTAACTTTCAGTCTCAGCAGGAAGCTTGCTGCTGCTGACTTCAAGGCAGCAACAAATGCTCTGATTATTTAGTGCTGGCCCATTAATCGCAGCTTGTTGATACCTGCATTCTCATTCTATCTGATAGGCCACTCATGAGTACAGCTGTTGTGCGCTGCATCTCCAAATACTTTGCAGATGATAGTGAGATGAAATGCAGTTTTGCCACAAATTGCTGCCTGAGCAAAAGGGATGCGTCTCAAAATCTCTTCAAAACAGAGTGTAGGAAACTGAAAAAGGAAAGGTGTGCCATCATAAATCACAATTATTCCTGGGCATTTCAAGCTAATGGGGATTACTTCCTATATGCCTGAGATGGTAATCTGATATTGGGTCAGACCAGGGGTAGACAACATAGTTGCCATGGATCTTCCCTTCCCTTCCCTTCCCTTCCCTTCCCTTCCCTTCCCTTCCCTTCCCTTCCCTT